AGTGGTAGGCTTGGTGACTGAAAAGATCTAATGAGAGCAGGGCCAGGAGCAACCTGTATCCCTTATTTCTTTCTGTAGAAAAGATGGCTTTGGCGAAATGATGGCTTTGGCGAAATGATTGGAGACAGACTAGAATATTAGCTTCTGCATCTCTTGGAAGTTCTGTTCTCTGATTTTCACATTTAAGGAGGCACTGAAATTTTTCATTATGTCTTGTTACACTTATAGGAGGAGTTACATGCTTTAGTGCCGCTATTCTTTGATTTGAGAGTTTGCTAAGGTCTCTGGATAATTCCATTTAGAATTTCAAGGGCCTATTTTATTCTAGATATGTGCCATAAATATTGAACAGTGATAATGAGTTCATGTATCTAACTTAATCATCTGAGACAATTAAATTATCAGTATGAGATAAAATACACATTAAATCTTTTTAAATGCCAATTCATATAGTTTCAGGGTACTTTAGATTTGTTAAAAGGAAACATTCATATTAAACAAATCTGGGATTGAATTCAGACTCCATTAACTTGATAACTGTGACCTGGGGCATGTTACTTAACCAATTTGATAACCTGTAAAACAGAAGTGATAATACATTTCTCATAGGCATAATATGAGATAATATATATAATGTGTTTATTAGTATATTGCTTGAGATATATCAAGTACTTGATAAATGTTACCTATTTTTTTAGATGTTAGCTATTATACTAAACGACATGTGAATTTAATTATATGAGCCTCWTGTAATTTGTCAGTATGATAGATAACATGGCTGCAGTGTGGTTGAGTTTTTATTTTTTAAATTTTTGATAGTAGGGATTGGACCCAGAGGCACTTTACCACTGAGCCACATCTCCAGCCCTTTTAATTTTTTATTTAGATATAGTCTCACTAAAGTTSYTTAGGGCCTCACTAAGTGTCTGAAGCTGCTCTTGAACTTTAAAAACTGCTTTTGAACTTGAAATCATCCTGCCTTATCCTCCCAAATCCCTGGGATTATAGGCATATACGACTGTGTCTGACTGAGTTTTCATTTTTAATACAATTATCAGATATCTGGCATCATATAGTCTGGGAAGGCTAATTGATATTTGGCAAGTTGAAAGTAATTCAGAAAATTTAAATGGTCTAGCATTAGCATATTTCTTATGATTAGTTTCATTGTACATTGGTGGTAAGAATTATTAATTTGGAGATTCTTTAGGACATGGAAGAGGAAAAGCCTAAAAGTAAATTACCTTAATATCAAGCTACTGATTAGTTCGATTTGCTGAATTTTTTTTGTTCCAATAGTCATGACATTGCTGCAGAAGCTGAGTATCCTAAATAATTTGTGTCAAAGGTGAAAAAAGCAACGTCTACAAGGCAGAAACCTAGAGGGCCAGGTTTAAAGAGGGCATCAGAGATCCTAAAGACACTCATATTTCCTGCTGCTTTAATTTCTGCTGTTATTATAGCTTGGAATGTTGATGTTAATGAAGGTGAGCCCAGTAATCCTAGCTATAGCAGCTAAAGATGCCATACGTAGTAGTATCTGATTAATAGCATGACTAGAGAATGTCAAACAATTTTAAGGGAAGAWTTTAAAAACATTTTGACTGAAATAGTAATTTATTTAAATTTCATTCAGTGAAAAGTTTTTGTTAAAGTAACACCAGTCTATTTTAAGTGAAAATTTATGCTTTTTTTGAAAATTTATACTCTATGGTCAAGAACTGTGAAAGAGTGTTCATTTATTCAAATGAATTTATTTTTTAACTCATTTGATCCCTGGGTTCCTGATTGTGTTAAGGAAGATTTTCAAGGAAGCAGGTCAAAGAATGGCCTTGCATCTTCAATGCAGGATTTACCTGTTCATTCAATGTTTGGCAAACATAATGATGGAAAAGCATTTATTTTAGATCACCCCTCTCTGTATATATTTCTCATATTAGGACTTTAAATTTATTTTTAGAGAAGTTTTAGAATTTTATTTTCATATCGATCATGATCTTTAAAAAAAATCTGTAAGTATGATAAAGGTAGATACCAACAATTGGTAAGGAAAAACACATTGATAGTTTTCTTTATGTTTGTTTTTATCAGAAAAGAAAGAAGTTATGCTTTATGAGTCTTCTATATTTAATAAGTAAATACATATGACTTATACATAAGTATATATGAGTGTGTCCTCACAAATTTTTAACCAATAGGTAGTGTACGATTTAAAAAAGRTGGAAACCATTTGTTTATATAAATAACTATTATATAACTAACTTGCCATACAGTTGCTCACTTTTTTTTATTTTGAGTTGAGAGAAGGCCACATTACATATGCTTTGTTGTGTGAAAAAGTTTTTACAGGGGCCTGAAAAGAATAAAGTGTGAGAGTTGAGTCATCACATATGGTAGTCATCACATATGGCTTGCCAAAGAATATCGTATTCTTGTATGAATTGGTTGTATTTTGGGGATTTTGTTTTAATAAGATAGAAGACAACTTCTTGTTAGTTATTTGTAGGCATGTCTAAGTATGTCTTTAAGGTAAATTATTTTGTTCTTGATTTTAGCAGTGATGGGTTTGATACCCATTATGTGCAGATTTAAATAATTGCTGTGATGCTAACCTTGATAGTTAAGTGAAAAAGACATTTTAAGGAGTCAGTRAGTGAGATCTCATACCTGGCATTCAAGGAATGTTTATTGGCAAAAACTTACTTAAATATAAGGATCTGATTGTCTTTAACAGTAAGCAGAGGCTTAGAAATTTTGAATTGTGTATTGTACAATGTACTTTTGTGAACAGGTATTTCTTATGTTATTGAATTATATTTGTAATGTTGATGTCAAAATATAGAATGAAATTAAATGTAAGACCAGACCTGAAGCTCTTCTTTTAAACATAACAGTAGTCATTTCATTTTAGCAAAAATAATATCATCTTTCAAATAGGATTATTGTTTTTAAGAGTATTTCTAGTTTGGTAGTTTTGTTAGGTTTTAATTCATAATTTTATCTTGATTCTGTAGTTTTATAAGAAGTATAGCAAACCTAAGTAGCTTACTTGCATGCATATATTAAGTACCATTATAGAGAAAAATTAGCACTTAGACCAAGTAAGAATTTTTATTTTCTACAGAAAAAAAGTTCTGTGCATTTATTTTTATGATCTCATAAACAGTGAACTAGAATATGTKGTTGGATTTCTAAACCTTTGGAATTTCTTGACTTTTTCTAATTTACCCACATTATTACAGATAAGATGATTTTTAAGATATATTATGTTTGATCAAGGGTCATAGTACTTATCCTGAGGCTCAAAATTATCTGCAGGAAAAATGTTGATTGAATTTATAATTTTAAGCCGAAATTATTACTTCTTTTTGGTTAATATTGATATATAGATATTAAATAATCATTTAGTTTTATAGAGTGAAATTAACAATAAACAAATGACATGGCCTTAATGTATTCATTTAAATATTGACATTTGTATATCAGTTCATTCTTGTTTAATAAAAATTATAGGATTGATAACAACTTAATGTAAATTAATGATCTTAAGATATAAAAAAAGAAAATATATTTTCTATTTTAAGAGGAATAACTTTCATCATTCTGGGAGTATGAATCAGTAACAGCTGAAGATCTGATATTTGAATGTGGCAGGATTGGAATGATTTCAAAGTTGAAATCTATCCAATTTTCAAGAAAAAATCACAATGTTTCAATTTTGAACTTTAATGTATTTGGAACATATGCAGCAGAACATTTTCTTCTTGCTGTCTCCTGCCAAACTAATTATGTATGCCACATTAATTTTTCCCTTAAGTTTTGGAAGCACAAGTATATGGTAGAATAAAGAATTTCCTGATTCATGTTCACTAGTTTTAATGACAGGATCAAGATAAGAAATATTTAAGAGGTATTTTGAAATTTCCTCTTAAAGAAATGATTTGCAAAAATGAAAATGTTTTATTTACTTAAAATCATTTATTGAATTCCTACTATATGAGAGGCTTTATTACTAAGGCTGTGTGACAGTAGTAAATAGGATGGATAGAGTACTGTCCCTCTGARAGCTTATATTCTAATGGAATGATGGTGGGAGATGATGGGGATTTCAGATTCATAAATGTCGTATATAAAGTCAAACAAAATGAGTAGCTTAGCTAATTGGAATGATTTGAATATCTGTTTGGAAAGAAGCTTTAAGTTTGGTCAGTAGCCCTTAAAGTGAGAAAGACTTGGCGTATTTCTGGTATAGAAAGCCCAGTTGTGGAAAGAATCTAGTGATAACGGCTGGTTGGGGCTAAAGACAGAAACCAGATTAAATGAACCTTTAAGACCATGTAAATGATTTCAGTTTTACTCTAATTATAATGTGAAAAGCTGGGAAGGTTTTAAATGGAAAAGTTTTGGCTTATTTAAGTAAGATCACTCTGGAGCCTATCAGGAGAATGAACTAAAAGAGGGTGAGACCAGGTAGGGAGATATTCCAACATCTAGTGCAGAGATGATGGTAGCTGGAATTAGGGAGGAGTGGAAATGTGTTCTCATGCCACACTGATCCCACATACGGATGGATTGCATGCTTTGGGAATTTAAAAGTTAAGTTATTTGGAATATCATTGTTTTAATGTGAGCTCTTTAAGACTAGAGAATGTCTAATATTACTAAAATTAAAAAAAAATGGGGAAGACAGTGTAGGTTCTTTAGCTTCCCTTGGCTATATGACATAAAGTAAACTCTTGGGAAAAAAATTAAGTTAGCAACTTCAAGTTCTGTGCATAAGTTCATGCTAAATTGCCCTATTTCTCTACTTTAAAATTTATGCTATGTAAGAATATGAAAAAAAATAATTAAGGCCCCTTTAAACATGTAGTTGGAAATTTAGTTAGTTTTAATGAGGAAAAGAACGAACATACTTGCTATATGATATAAATAAAATGTCTGTGTTTAACATTTTGGTTTTATTTAAAGAGTATATTTACTGGAACTTTTTTTCCCCCTAGTCACATTGTCCTGATGCTTGCTGATGATATGGCATGCAATCCTAGAAATCCCAAACCAGCTACAGTGTTTAGTCACAAGAATATGGAACTAAATGTGTATGGAGATGATGTGGAAGTGGATTATAGAAGCTATGAGGTAAATTGTTTAATTCAGCAAAATATTTGAACTGATGTCATTACTTTTATGTTTTAGAGACAGCAGGAGAATACCATTAATTGTCTTATTCTTTTTCTTTAAATTTAGTACCTAATTTTTGCTGAGCTTTCATGTAATTTGTCTCTGTAGTTCATACTAAAGAAATAATATGAGTAAAACTACTGAAGTATGAATGTTTCATATGTATTTCTAAGATAGGAAATTTCATATTGGCTTTTAATTAAAGCATTTTAGTGAGGTTTGATGTATTACTCCTCTTTCACAGGAAATATTATTACTTGTGTTTTACCTTTGCTCAGCAATTTCAAGTTTARAATTTTTATAAATATATTAATTGTGAAAAAATTGTAATGACTAACAAAACACCATATGTCCACTACTTAGAGAGTAAGCCACTTTTATTTTGCTTCCAGTGTTTTTATGCATATATAATTAAAAGTAAAATGTGTATAAAATGCTATTTTAACTATATTTTCYTCCTTTGAAATTTTTAAATTTAACAGATTATGACAGTGTTTAAATTTTGAAGTCCTCCTAGATAGTTCTTCCTCTTTTACCAGCTAACCAAAAGTAAGACACAGTATCTTTATCTTTACTGAAGCATAGCTGTCTTCTAAGCTGTGAACTCCTCCAGGACATAGCCTAAATCTACATACTTTGTACCTAGCAAGTACCTATGTAGTCCTTTGTAGATACTAAAAATATTTTTCAATGAATTAAATGTATATGAATATTTGACTTTTTACTTATTTATTTAGATGCCTTAAAATATTGACCAAAAATATTTCTTCCTTGTTAGTCAGCAAGAGGTCCTATTAAAATTGATATTTTGCTGTCTCTTGGGCAAAATATAGATTAAAAGTCTTATACATACATATTCATACACATTTATGCATGATGTAGAGAAAAGTCCCACAAGAAAGCTGGATTGATTTTCTATTCGTTAAAGTTATATATGCATAATATATGACTTAGCTCTTGATTTTTACATTTTACCCTCTGGAGATTTAAATAATGCCCTCAAAGAATTCTAGAGGGCTAGAAATTCCAGGTTGGGAAATCTGGTTTAAAGTGTTACGAATTTTTTGCATGTTACAGATGCTCCTTCTAGGTGTAGTGGCTCATGCCTGTATCCTTCTAGGTGTGGTGGCTCACGCCTGTAATCCCAGTGGCTCTGGAGGCTAAGGCAGGWGGATCATGAGTTCAAAGTCAGCCTCAGCAAAAGCGAGGAGCTAAGCAACTCAGTGAGACCCTGTCTCTAAATAAAATACAAAATAGGGCTGGGGATATGGCTTAGCTGTCAAGTGCCTCTGAGTTCGGTCCCTGGAACACCCCCTTTCCCCCATAAAGATGCTCCTAAYGAAATCCAAGTTTACATAATTCATCCAAAAATTAATGAAACATAATTTTGGGGGATGATTAATAGAACTTTTTTCATTATTTGTTATTGACTAAGTAGTTGTACATATAAATTGCAATAATGTAACTGTACTTATTTATAAATTCTTATATTTTGTGTCTTTCCAAAGAATTACCTATTCAGACAGACTAGTAATTTTTAAGCTTTTGGGTAAATACTTTTTATTTTATTTTTTCAGTACAAAGATTGAATCCAGGGGTGCTTTACATCTGAGTTATATCCCCACTACTTTTTTTTTTTTTTCCCTGAGACAGGGTCTCACTAAGTTGCCCAGGCTAGCCTCAAACTTGATGATCCTCCTGCTTCAGCCTCTTGAGTAGCTGGGATTATAGGTATGTGATTATAGGCATGTGACACCACATCAGGTGCTTTTGAATAATTTTTAAAGACAATACTTTGTGTAGTATTTAAAATTTTTAAATGAGATTTAACTTATTTTTTCTCCAAGGTAGTATTTTTTTCAGGTTTCATTTCAACTGATTGATTCTCTCTCTCTCTCTCTCTCTCTCTCTCTCTCTCTCTCTTTCTTAAGGTAACTGTGGAAAATTTTTTGCGGGTATTAACTGGGAGGATCCCATCTAGTACTCCTCGGTCAAAACGACTTCTTTCTGATGATAGAAGCAATATTCTTATTTATATGACAGGTAATTTTAGGATTTAGAGATTTCTTAGTATAATATGTTTAAACTCTTTTTGAAGAGAAATTCATGGGCATTAAACACGTTAAATGATTTGGGGTTAAAATAGTTTTTTGTCATGTAGTTCTGTCTTCTCACGATACAAAACTATTTGAAATGACATTTGAAAATGGTATAGGTTGAGCATTCATAATAAAAAAATCTGAGATCTGAAATGCTTCAAAATCAAACTTTGAGTATCAATGTGAATGCCACYAGTAGAAAATTCCACACTGACCTCACATGAGAAAGTAGGCACACTAAAAATAATGCATAGAACTACCTTCAGGCTATKTGTGTAATGTATACCTAAAACATAAAATTTATTTTATTTTAGACAAGGATCTTATCCCAAAGATATCTCATTATGTAGAAGCAAATATTTCAGAATCTGAAATCTGAAGTACTTCTGTTTCTAACTGTTTGGAACAGCAATACTCAGCCTTTATAACATTTTGTGCTATTGCTGTTTTCTTGTCCTTTTGCTCTTTACTCTTGCCTTGGTAAAGTTTACTACCTTTTACTTTGTATACTGCTAAAGCATCTCTCTTTCAGTTTTGTTTTCCTGTTAGTCATCCTGCTAAAATGTTTACTAAAAATTGCAAATTTGTCTGTCCTCTGCTTAAAACTAAAAATGATTTCCTATTGATTGAATCTCAGATTTTGTGTGTATAAAGTATAAAGATTAACTGAATGTAGACACTTAGACCTTATCTTAAAATTCTTATTCAGTTTTGTTCTGGAGTGTGGGTTCAYGAAATTGCATTGTGAACATACTTATGAAATGTAAGATGTAGTAGTCTTTTGACTATATGTTGAGGAACTTTATTGGACATAAGGTTCTCCATAATATAATAGTTAAATACTATATATAATAATATGTTATGATTTTATATATTATTTAATTTCGGTCTTAATTCTTACACTTTTTCTAAGTATAAGTTCTTGGCTGTTCTGTCCTCCAGATATTTACTTAAACTGTTGCCTTTGCTTATGACGTCCTCTCAATCCACTTTGCTTATGTGACTATCCCTTATCTTTTTGGTGTTAGCTCAGGAATTTTCCTTCTAAGTCTAAGGTGACTTTTGTTTYCAGTTGCCTAGAAATACCTAGTTTACATCTCTTGTCCCAATAATTATTGATTTTGAATTCTAAGATATAATCATCAATTATATGTTTTTCATCTTTTTATGATCAGTACCTATCTTATAGTAGTATTTAGTAAATGTGAATATTATAGTAGTATTCAGTAAATGTTATCAAAAGGTATTCAATAAATATTTTAGAGAGCTTTTCACTAAATTGATAGTAAAAGAGCTGCAGAATGATTTCTTAGATGTCATATGGCAGGGTAGGTAATGATCCTAGCTTAGTGGCTTTTCTTTATCATGTTGTATTTATTTACCACTTTTTAGATTCTGTTTATTTACTTTATAAATTAGCTCAACAGAATTAATGAAGTCCAAAATCTTTCATTTTATCTTATCTTAAAATTATAAGAAAATTATATGCTTTGTTGGCAAAGAAAATGAAATACAGTTTTATAGCCTAGCGTTAGTTGATGTGTTAAAAGATTTACACATTTTTCTTCTAATTATGTGGGTTCTTTTTTAGAATAAACTCATGGTGTAGAAGACATTCCAATAGTTTAAGATACAGCTTGATAAATTATCACCCCTGAATGTCTGCCTATTTTGGAAAAAATTTTTATTGAGACACAKTTTCACCTATTCATTTACATATTTTTCTCAACTGTTTTCATCCTATAATAGCAGAGTTCAGTAGCTGTGACAGAGACCACATGGCTCATAATCCTAAAACATTTACAGTTTATAGAAAAAAGTTGCCAACATCTGTAAGAGAATATAAAGGCTGATAATTATAATGTGATAAAAAAGATAATAGCTAATAGTTATTAAGGCTTACTATACATTATGTAATATCCTAAATTTTACATACGTAAAATTTATATATAAATAAAAAATATAAAAAACAATACACACACACGCACACACACACATACACACACATATATATTTCATCCTCATAGCAGCTTGATGATTTAAGTGCTAATATTCAGGGCTGCCATATATGGTAATAAGGGTTTTACACACAAGCATATGGCTTGGGATTAAGTGGGAGTTGAAATTTAGTGTATGTTTATACTTATTAAACTGCATGCCATGCTKCAGAGTTGTGTCTAATAGGAGGGAAGAATATTCCCACTGCCTCACTAACCACTTATAACCTCACAAGAATGCATAATATCCAGAGGAAGCCACTAAAATAGTCCGTCTTTTCTATAAAACTACTGTAGTTTTTTCAGTGGAAGGTACAATTTTAATAATCTGCACAAAGGAACTATAAAAGCAAACTAGGTGTGATCTTGCTTATATGTTTCTCACTTATGGCTGAGGAAACTGAGGCATAGATTAAATTATTTGCCTAAAATAACACAGTAAATGGCACAGCTAGATTTGAATCTAGGCAGACTGGTTCTTTCATGCATACTGAATGTCACAGTCTTTTAGCCAAGTCTTATGGGATTGTTGTCAGTGATGGTAAAAATGTCAATTTCTAGGTGAGAACTGCAGTTCCTAGTATTAATAGCATTCTAAGTATATACACTGTGAATAGTATAATCATATCATGGGACTAGCTAGTGTCTTGAACTCTTTTCTCATCAAAAATGTTTGCATAGCATTTGAAAAAATTTTATGTCTGGAATAAATTTTGGATGTAGTAATGGAGCCAGTGTAAAAGTATAAATATTGGTTTCTGGAATTGAGTAGAAAAACTCTTGAAGATATGTCTCTACTATTTTTTACAGTCTATCATTATCCTCTTTTTAATTGATATGGTAGAAAATTATTTGTTTTTGTAGTAAATATTTTAGAGCATAAAACAAGTGATATTAAAAATTTGCAATAAATGAAGTAAGTATACATGTTTGGATGTGTGAAGTTTGCAATTAAAAAAATATATCTGCTTGACTTTTTGACTCTTCTTACAAGGACATGGTGGAAATGGTTTTTTGAAATTTCAAGATTCTGAAGAAATTACCAACATAGAACTTGCAGATGCTTTTGAACAAATGTGGCAAAAAAGACGGTAATTAGAAAATGACTTCTTTTCATAAAATAAATTGATACCTAAATTTTTTATGATAGATTCCTAGTTCTTATTTTATAAATTTTACCTTACTTTGATCATTTCTTCCACATTTAAAATTTGTTTGTTATACATTAAACTGTGTTTTTTAAAGGAAAAACTTAAGGGTTATTACTTAATATGAAAAAAATCGATCTTTTAAGATCAACTCTCTTGTAATTTAGCATCATTTTTGGGGGAGAGTCCTTTGTAAGCATTCTTTTATTTGAGAGTTGTTGTATATATGAGCTTACATGAACTCCAAGTAAACAATAGAACTGCTTTTAGCTTGATTGCACTTGTAGGTTACCTTCTGTACACATGGCACAAAGGGAAATGTGATGCTTATTCTGCCTTCAAAGTGTTTAAAAATCTAACATAAGAGAGAAATGTATACACAAGCATACTACAAAAATTATCACTTTTGAAATATAAACAGAATGTATGGAAGTATTGAAGAGGAAATTTTATTTGGTACTGGTTGTTTTATATAGTGCTTAAATTTATTGCATATTAGGTACTGGACACTGTGTTTTTCATGAATTATCTTAATTTCAGTAGCAACTCTGTGAGATAARTACTATTATTTTCCAGTTTTTAACAAATGAATAAGCTGAGGCACAGATAGGTTAAGTAACTCACTAAACTTTATGCAGCTGATAGTGCCAGAGCTAGGATTTATGCCCAAGTGGTCTGATCACAGAGCTTGCTTTTAGATACTGCCTTTAATAATTTCAGAGAAGAGCGCACTACAGGGATACTGCCACATCGATGTTCATAGCAGCACAATTCACAGTTGCTAGACTGTGGAATCAACCCAGATGCCCTTCAATAGATGAATGGATATACACCATGGAGTATTACGCAGCACTAAAAAATGACAAAATCATGGAATTTGCAGGGAAATGGATGGYACTAGAGAAGATTATGCTTAGTGAAGCTAGCCAATCCCTAAAAAACAAATACCAAATGTCTTCTTTGATATAATGAGAGCAACTAAGAACAGAGCAGGGAGGAAGAGCAGGAAGAAAAGATTAACATTAAACAGAGACATGAGGTGGGAGGGAAAGGGAGAAAAAAGGGAAATTGCATGGAAATGGAGGGAGACCCTCATTGTTATACAAAATTACATATAAGAGGTTGTGAGGGGAATGGGATAATAAACATGGAGGGAAATGAATTACAGTAGATGGGGTAGAGAGAGAAGATGGGAAGGGAGGGGAGGGGGGATAGTAGAGGATAGGAAAGGTAGCAGAATACAACAGTCACTAATATGGCAATATGTAAAAATGTGGATGTGTAACCGGTGTGATTCTGCAATCTGTATTTGGGGTAAAAATGGGAGTTCATAACCCACTTGATTCTAATGTATGAAATATGATATGTCAAGAGCTTTGTAATGTTGTGAACAACCAATAAAAAAAAATAATTTCAGAGATTTCTGATCCTGGACAAATGTTGTCTCAGAACAAATATGTCACATTAATTGTACCTTCTGTCATTCTCTTGGACTTTGTGGTTCAAGATTCTATATATCTTTTTCTAGGAGCATTATTAGCTGTTTACTCAGACCAAATGTCTGAAGAAAACTTCCACTAAAACCTATCTACCTCTTACTTTCACCTTCACCAGTTATCTACATTTTTGTAAAAAAGAGATTTGATTGTGTTATTCTTTCACTTAACAACAAAAGAGAATAAAATACCACTTTGGTGGCTTCCTCAAATGTACAGAATAAGAAAGAGACTTCATATGGTATCTTTACAAATTGACCCTATCCCAACTTTTTAAAAACCAGCTTCTCTGCCATACCTCAAATTTACTCTTTCTAAACTTTTTACATTGTATTTSTTCACATTAGGTGCTTTTTCTTCTGTTGGAATCTGTCCTTTCCCTAAGAGATAAAATAATGCTCACCCTTCATTGCCCATGTCAGGTATCACCTTTCTGTGAACCTTTTCAGTTCCCTCTATTCCTTTCACAGTGCTCATAGAGTACTTTGCTTTGTTASACTGTAAACTCTTTGAGGTCAGGAATTTTTGTATCCCCAATGTAGTGTCAGGGACATTGTAGATGCAATATATGTTTGTAACACTTAGCTCATTTCAATTTAGTTTTATTTTAAGCTCTTTGAGTATGGTGAGTAAGTCACCTCCCTCTTCCCCACACATTTTTTTTTTTTTCTGAACCTCGTTCAGTTTCTAGGACAGTGCCAAATTAGTGGTTGTTGAGTTGAATATTCACTTGGTTCTGAATAATGTGACATGGACAAGGGAGAAGAACTTAAGTTGAGGCACAACTACTAGGCCCTGTTCAGGTGRTTTCCCTGCATAGGATTATACCTTTAACTTTTCAAATGCTAAATTTCTATTGAAGACTCCACTTTTTTTGTTAATGAAATAGCTAAGACAACACAAACATCTTATGTAATAGAAGTATTGTAAAAATATTATTGTATGATTAATACAGCATGATCTGTGACAAAAGATATTATCACTTTTCTTTCAGGTACAATGAGCTACTATTCATTATTGATACTTGTCAAGGAGCATCCATGTATGAACGATTTTATTCTCCTAACATAATGGCTCTAGCTAGTAGCCAAGTCGGAGAAGATTCACTCTCAGTATGTACATTTTCCCAATTTGTAAATGATACTGTTTTTGGAATCATTTGAATAGTTTTAGAATATACCTATTATTTTTCATTCTTAGACTTTTTAACACAGAGGAAATTTTAATTGTATTTTAAGCATTTTGTTACAATGATGCTGTTGGACAATATACATTTTTTTTTCCTCTTTTCATAGCATCAACCTGATCCTGCAATTGGAGTCCATCTTATGGATAGGTATACATTTTATGTTTTGGAATTTTTGGAAGAAATTAATCCAGCTAGTGAAACTAGTATGTATGACCTTGTAAGTATTCCTTTGATTTGATTATAACACATAGGTATATTAATGTGATAAATGAAGTTGATTATTCTTTGGAACCCTCTGGATTAGAGTTTCTAATGTTGAATTATGGCCTGTTAAATTGTTTTGAATCTTCCTTCCTATTAGTATCTTTCTCTTTACCACAAAAGATCCAAAGCTTCAGCCTAGTTAACTTGCTATTCCTGAGGTATTTCCCCATTTTCATTGGTTTACTCATTCTCTTTTCCCTATCAGAAATGTAATTTTTTAAAGATTAATCTTTTGAAATTCTACCTATTCTTCTGGGGTCAAATCAGATGTATCTCCTCTAAGACATCTATTCAAATGCTTCCTTTTGGAATTTTTTTTACCTTTTCAGAATTTCCATAGAATCTTATTTATTTTGTGACAATTATTATGGTTTTTCTTTTTAAATTTTTTTATTTTATTATTTTTTAATTTWATTTTATTTTGTTTATTTTTTTATGTGGTGCTGAGGATCGAACCCAATGCCTCACACATGCTAGACTAGTATTCTACCACTGAGCCCCAGCCCCAGCCCTACAGTTTATCTTTTTTTTTAATGTAAATTTTAAAAATTTATATATGAGAGCAGAATGTATTACAATTCTTATTACATATATAGAGCACATTTTTTCATATCTCTGGTTGTATACATAGCATATTCACACCAATTCGTGTCTTCATACATGTACTTTGGATAATAATGATCATCACATGTGACCATCATTAATTACCCCATGCCCCCTCCCTTTCTCTCAAACCCCTCTACAGTTTATCTTTTATTGACCAGTGTGAAAGCCTTTCTATTTAATGGGAAACTCCTAAATGAAAGGAACCTTTGTTATCTATTTTTATGTGCCCTACAACTTCTGCTATAATCTTTTGACATCATTTGTTGAATTTCACTCAAAAAATCTTTCTGACTTTTCTGTGCTTATTATGTATTTTTAATTAAATGAACTTTAAGTTGCTTTTGAAAAGCAGGAATAATAAAAGCTTGAAACAACAATTCTAGGCTGAATAAATTACTGTGTGTAAATGACTTTCTCTTCTTATTTCTTTTAACTTATACCTTCCTCATTTATTCACAAACATTTGAGTGCTTACTAAGTGCCAATCACTGGCTATTCCCCAATGAATAAGCATAAGCATACACTGCTTTTGTGGAGTTTAGGAACTGAGACTGAGTAGACAGGCTCCCTCTTACCCACATCAGCCTAAGCACCTTTGCATTGATCTTTTTAATTATATAGAAACACCTTCTTTGGTAAATTTTCTTTTACAAAGGGGGTTCTGATGTAAAATTCTGAAAACGACTGCTATAGCCTGTCAAATTTGATAGAAGTACTTACTTCAGTTTCAAGATTATATATTTTGATGCCTGTTAAGTCTTGATTTGAATTTTAAAACAAAACTTATGACAATGATGCTTTAATTTCAAGAAATAATAATCACCTAAATCCCAGTTACTTTAAAAGTTTAGTCTTGCTTTTGGATTCAACATTGTATACTTTATATAATTCTTGACGTATTCTCAAAAGTGTAAAATATACGTACTTTATAGTTTGAAAGTCTAATGCATTTAAAAAGTACTTTCATTGAAATTATGTGGGAAAGAGTGAGGAAACTATTTTTTTAATTGTTCACAATTGTGATTTATTTTTAAATAAACATTTCTTGCTAATATCTGATCTTTCCCTTTCACCTCTGTTAAAAAAAAAATCTATATTTTGGTACTGGGGATTGAACCTAGGACCTAAGCACTCCATTACTGAGGTTCAACCTCTACTCCCTCCTTTTTTTTTTTTTTGTTTTGTTTGAAGATGGTCTTGCTGTGTTTCCCAGGCTGGCTTGAAACTCTTCATCCTCCTGCATTAGCCTCCTGACTAATGTAGGTGTGCACAAATATGCCCAGTTCCATTTTAAGATTTAAGGATAACTGTTTTAATCTTAATTCAATCAGAATGGCCCATATTGTTGCAGTATAGTGGTACAGTGATTTGACATATCTCTATATCATTTTTGTAATAATAGTTATTTTTTATTGGATTATGTGTATGCAGTAAAATTCACTGAGAATCAGCTGTATTCTGAGTATCATATATATTGGGTGTTTCAGTAACCACAAAATTAGAGGGCTTGGTGTGTAGCCCCTAAATTCATAGAAAGCAGTTAGCATATTTATAAATTGTTACCTGTTATATGAAGTCTCTGAACCCTCTAGGTAATATTCCTTTGTGAATATATAACTCTTGCATATGCTTTTATTATACTTTTATTGTTACACTATCATTGTTTAGATTTGTGATGTATCCTTCTGCACAAGAAAGTGTTTTCTTTTTTGTTAATTTTTCAACTTTTTAAGTTATTATTATTTTTTTGGTACCAGGGATTGAACTCAGGGACACTAGATCACTGAGCCACATCCCCAGCCCTATTTTTTGTATTTTATTAGAGACAGGGTCTCAGTGAGTTGCTTAGCACTTCGCTGAATTGCTGAGGCTGGCTTTGAACTCGTGATCCTCCTGCTTCCGCCTCCCGAGGTGTGGGATCACAGGCGTGCGCCACCATGACCAGCTTTAAATTAATTTTCAATTGGCACAATATATGCAATAGTGGGATACTTTATGATATAATTATACATGCACATAGCATAATTTGGTCAGTTTCATTCCCCAATACCTCCACTTTGGGTCTAACCTTCTTAAATAAAAGATGTAAGGACTATGCTTTATGCATCTTAATAACCACTTAACTTGATTATAGTACCTGGTCTATTTGTAGATGCTCATTGAATATTTATTGAATGAATGAATAAACATGACAGCAATGCATATATATATAGTTCTTTTAAATACATTTTTCATAGAGGAGGTAAATTTTTAAGTTTGAAGGGAAAGAAATATAGCACACTTTAGGGAAATGGAATACTTGCAGATGGACAAAAGTTGCAAAAACAGGTGATTCTTCAGTAGTAAACATATAGCCTGTCTGGAGTATGGAGATTCTGTTAGTAAGGGGGATTATTGAAAATTAAACTTAGTAATGTAGGATTTATGGTCCCTATTGTAGAGGTTAAGGAAATCAGATTGATATAATAAACATTCTTGAAAGGAAGAATGACTTCATAATAAGTGGAAGTATATTTATTTTAGTAACAAAGAATAAGGTAATACTACTCAGTGTTTCTCAAGCTCATTTGACTATTTTTTCTGTTTTCTTCTGCTGGGGTACCTAATAAAGCCTATCAAATTGCTTTCACAGGAATGTTCTCAAAGGCATTCAGTATACCTGGGGCTTCAGTCTTATTTCTGTTTATCTTATCTTTTAATTTGTTTATTCAACCTTTCATGTGTCCTTCCTGTTGGACATTTCACCTTTTTGAGCTTCTTTCTTTTCCCCTTCCTTTGCTTTTAATTTATGTCTTATTTCCTTCTTTGTATTTATTTTGTATTTTCCTTTTCTGAACAGGGAAGGCAAAGATTACTGATAATGTGATGTTAGTTAAATTGCTTAATCTCATTGAGCCTTAGTTTAAAATGGAGATGTATACTCAGAGCTATTAGTAGGCTTAAATGAGAGTCTTTTCAAATTGCTTATCATGTTTCTTGGAACACCTTGTGTTTCATAAACTTGATGCTCAGTTCTTCCCCACCTCTTTCCCTTCCTATTGGTAATTACCTATGAAGCTGGTCTTRTCTTCACAGGTGGGAGGTGCTGTGGGCCTGAATACTTATTGGTAGGCTTGTGATTGTTTCTTTCCTATACCCTGTGCTTCAGCCAAACTAGATTGTTTTATGTATCTCTGCATTGATCCTATATTTTCCTTTCTATAAAGACTACTTTTTCAAACATAGCTTAATTCTCACAATATCTTTTTTTCTCTTCCTCAAACTATAAGAAATTCATCTTTTTCTGAAGTAAAACCTGTCATTTTCCCTACCCTGATATGTTTTATTTATCTCTAACCTAAGACATAAAGCCTTTACAGGAAATTTTATCATTCTTTGAATTCTCTATGGAAGGTAACAGTGGGAACTATATGAAACAGATACTTTTTATGCTTTGCAGAATGGCATAATTTATGTTTGTTCTTGATAATTCACTGATGTTGAATATTAGATATAAGATTAACACAGAAATTTTTGTGGCATCTGTATAAGTGGTGAACCATTTATAATGGTTTTCACATTATATTCTTTGGAACAATAGAGTGTCTGTAGAGGTGTTTTGGGTTTATTTTCATCATTGATAAACAAAATAAATTGATTTATAAAATGGTACAAAATTGCACAGCAAGAGCAAGGGGTTAGGTATTGGGGAGGTTACATGTCACCTACTTGAAACCCAGACTTTCTCCACTTAAATTTTTTTTTTTTTAATGTACTTGGCTATCATGTTACATTTTATTTGAACTTTGAGCCTAGAGTCATGATTTCAAAATGTCTGAAAACCATTCAGGTAGAGAGAGTACCCTTCTGAAGTGGACTTAGATATACACAAACAAAAATTTCTGTTTTCATAATGCTGATTGTGAAATCTCGATGGATTTAGGAGTTCAAAATATATTTCGTAGCATATGATTCAAGAAAATGAATTTTTTTTCTCTCCAAGGACAGCTTCTCTTTTTTCATTGTTCTGATGTCTATATATCTGTATAGTTGTTATTTTAGAATATCAAATATTATAATAGGAATGAGACATATATTTTTCCCCCTGAAACTGGAGATTGTACTATGGGTACACTGAGCTACATTCCCATCCCTTTTTATTTTGAGACAAGGTCTTGAATTTGAACTGGCCTTAAACTTGCCATCCTCCAACCTCACCYTCTTAAATTGATGGGATTATAGATAGGAGGTGCCCAATGAGACTTTAATCTTTAGAACCAGTAGCCTCTTTATATTTGGGGATCTTTTTTTTGTACCAGGGATTGAACCCAGGGGCCTTAACCACTGATCACCTCCTCAGCCCTTTTTATTTTATATTTTGAGATGGGGTCTCACTAAGTTGCTTAGGGTCTTGGTAAGTTGTTGAGGCTGGCTTTGAACTTGTGATCCTCCTGCCTCAGCCTCCTGAGCCAACAGGATTATAGGCATATGCCACCATGCCTGGCTTGGAGAGTTTTAAAGATACATTACAGTTTTCTATATTGTGTCACTGAATTTAATAAAAGTTGTATGTATATGTGTGCATGCGTGTATTTATTAGTATTTTATTTTTCCAGTTTCAGGTATGTCCCAAAAGTCTCTGTGTTTCTACTCCTGGACATCGTACTGATCTTTTTCAGAGGGATCCTAAAAATGTCCTGATAACTGATTTTTTTGGGAGTGTACGGAAAGTGGAAATTACAACAGAAACTATTAGTTTGCAACACGATTCAGAAATCATGGAAAGCAGGTATTCATCTTAAATTGTTATTTGAATAGTCTAGTCTCATAATTTGTAAATTTTTATGAAACACATCAAGAGATGAAAGTTATTGTTTGTCTGTAGTTTCACATTTCTACCCATTATTTATTTTATATAGGCCACATGCTTTACAGATTTATGGACAAAAACTTAATAATAAATATTAGTGGGAAGTTAAGATTATGATTAAGATTATGTTGGCATTTTAAAATGCAGTGTTGGTAGTAGTGCAGTGTGAGACTTGCTAAGACCTAAAACTTTGCCCCTAACTGGCCATTATAGAGCTATACTTTTCACTTTATTGGAACTCTTGGTAATTCATTAGGGAGAGGCATAAGAGAGATATAAGCCAGGTACTTCCTTTTTGAGGAGTGGATTGTTGTGCATGTATATTTGTGTGAGACAGGTTGAAAGAAATTGGTTAACTTCGGGTAAATTAATTTTAGAAATATTTATAATGTTCTTTTTTTCCTGAAAGGCAAAAATATCTCATTAAAATTAAATAATGGCTTGATTAATAGCCACTTTCTTGAAATGTGTAACAATATATTTTATTAGCTGTATAACTTAATTTGTATTGTCTAATGCTATTGTCTCATGATATCATACTCTAGGGAACTTCCCTGGCTTGTTAAATGGCAACATATAAAATTCTTACAGTTTTGAACATTTCAGAGATTTCTTGTTGAACTTAGAATATGGTAGGAATAAATCCAGAAACTAGCACAAAATACTTATTTATTTATGAATATTTAGAATTGATATTGCTACCTGTTCTGGGTATTCAAAGTCTTATATTTTTTCTTTTCCAATTTCCTATTGCTATTGGCTTAAAAAAGGTGTTAAGGCAATAGATTAAAATCCTACAGCAATATTTATTACCTTTATTTTTTGTTTAAATAACAGCTTTCAAATTGCCTCTGTAAAAATGGCTAAACGGTACTTTAACAAATGAGTAGTATGTCTTTTACTAAATTCATTCTATAATTCTCCTCGAACTTGATTCTATAAATATAATATTTGTCCTTGCCCTTCTCTGAACCATCTGAACATTAAATTAATCTCCTTTATAGGCAAGGACCATCTTTTTACTGCTTTACTTATTTTCTGTTCTCTCAACATACAATATTAAATATATAGTGATTGGACAATAAAAAATTGTTTCACTGGAATTCTGTTATATGTTCTGGAAGAATGGAAATTTGCCTCTTCAGTTTTCTCTGTGTATTAATTTGAAAACAAAAATTGTTAGTGCTGAAGAGATCTTAATTTATTCTTGTGGAAAATATTTTAAGCTTTAAGGCCAGACAGCAAGCATTATTGAATTAGAGCACCCTCTAGTGTTTGTAGATGAATTTTATTTAGGTTGTTTACCAGGTAGTTTCATAACTCCTAAGCTGGATCTGGTGGCACGGGCCTGTAATCTTAGCCATTCCCAAGTTTAGGCAGGAGGAGTGTTGTAGTCTAGGCATTAGGGGTAATAGGACAATATAAGAGACCCCATTTTTTAAAACAAATTTACTTGTATACTTTATTCAACTAATGTATGAGAATTTAGTTCTCATTGTGCTCCCAGGAATTTTTTACATGAATGTTACAGATATTATCTCATTGTATAAAGGTTCTATTCACATGTATTTATGAATGACAATTGGAAGTTCTTTTAATAATCTTTTTTCCTGCCCTTTTTATTGGTGCATTACAGTTGTACATAATGGTGGAATTTGTTGTTACATATTAGTATGTATACACACTATAACAATATAATTTGGTCAGTTTGGCTCCCCAGCTCTTTGCCTTTCCCTTTCTACCTTTCACCTCCTGGTTGCTTTCCTCTGTTCTACTGATCTCCCTTTCATTTTCATGAGATCCCTTCCTCTCACCTTTCTTTTCCTTTTTTCTCTAGCTTCCACATATGAGAGAAAACATATGATCCATGACATTTTGGAGTTTGGCTTATTTTGCTTAACATAATGTTCTTCATTTCCATTAATTTTCCTGAATGACATAATTTCACATTTCTTCGAAATTAATTTTAGGATTGTTTTTTTCTAGTTCTGGGAGGAATGTCATTTGTATTTTGATGGGATTTACATTGCATTTACAATTGTAACATTTATAAAAAAAAAAAAAGGCCAGTGTCAAACAGTGTAATCCATTGTTTGACACTGGCCTTTTTTTTTTATAAATGTTACAATAGCGATTTTTTTTTTTTTTTAGAGAGAGAGAGAGAGAGGGAATTTTAATATTTATTTTTTAGTTTTCGGCGGGCATAACATCTTTGTTTGTATGTGGTGCTGAGGATCGAACCTGGGCCGCATGCATACCAGGCGAGCACGCTACCGCTTGAACCACATCCCCAGTCCAACACTGGCCTTTTAAAAGATATTTTGTATATCTTGTTTTGATAGTATGGCCATTTTAACAATATTAATTCTGCCTATYTGTGAACATGGAGGTCTTTCCATCTTGTGTGTTTTAAATTTCTTTYTTCAAAGTTTTATGGTTTTCATTGTAGAGTTCTTTTACCTTCTAGTTTAAACTTATTCCTATTGTGAATGGAATTGCTCTTCTGATTTCATTCTCAGCAGAATTCATTGCTAGTTTATAGGAAAGGTATTGATTTTTGTATGTTGATTTTGTAACCTATTACTTTGCCAAATCTATTAGTTCTAGCAATCTTTTGGTGGAGTTTTTGGATCTTCTAGGTAAAGGATCATAACATGTGCAAATAGTGATAATTTGACTTTTTTCTATTTTTATCCTTTTTATTTCCTTCTCTTGCCTAATTGCTCTTGCTAGAATTCCTAGTACTATATTAAAATAGGAGTAGTGAGGTAGGATATCCTTTTCTTTTTCCATATTATAAAGAAAATGCTTTCAGTTTTTTCCCATTTATTATGCTTTGGGTTTTTCACATATAGCCTTTATGGTGCGGGGGTAGCTTCCTTCTATCCCTAGATTCTTCAGTGTTTCTGTCTTGAATAGTTGTTGAATTTTGTTAAAGGCTTCCTTTACATGAAAGCTTATTTAGAGAACAGCATATTCACCAAAAATCAGATATCAACTATTTTGTTAAGGAAGTTATAGCCTAGAATGTTTATCTATTTTGTTCAAACTTTAGTTTGAAAATATCAATACAATATTATTAAAATTGGTAGTTATGCCTTAAAAATATTACTTCTACATATATTTTAAGGAAACAGTGTAATCCATTGGTTGACATTGGCTTTTTAAAAARTATTTTGTGTAATAGTCTAGTATATACTACTAATCAGATATGATAGAAGATATTAATACATAAAATTGACTGATATAGTTTTATGGAATAAGAATTGTTTTAGTATTACTGTTTTCTGAAACTTAGGTATATTGAGTAAAATAAAGTTTTAATGGTATAATGAACTTGGGATTGTGAATATCTCTGACAAACTTTGAATTTCATTTTCTTTGGATATATAACCCCGAAGTGGTATTACTGTATTATTTGGTAGTTTTCTTTTTAATTTTTTTTTAGTTGTAGATGGATATAATAGCTTTATTTAATTTATTTATTTTAATGTGGTGCTGAGGATCAAACCCAGTGCCTCACATATGCAAAGCAAGCACTCTGCCACTGAGCCACAACCCCAAGCCTTGTTTTTAATTTTTTGAGAATCTTCATACTATTTTCTGTAATAGTTATACTAATTTACATACCCACCAACAGTGCATAAGAATTTCCTTTTATCTATATCTTTGCATTTTTGATAGTAATCATTTTAACAGGTGTGAAGTGTCATTTCATTGTGTCTTTAATTTGTACTTCCCTGATGATTATGATGTTGAGCATTTTTTCATATGCCTGTTGGCCATTTATATGTTTTTGAAAAATGTCTGTTTAGATTCTTTACTCATTTTTTGATTGGATGATTTTTAACTATTGAGTTATTTTAGTTATATATTTTGGACATTAACCTTTTATCAGATATATAGTTTACAAGTATTTTCTTTCATTCTGTAGGTAGTGTCATTGCAGTATTGATTTCCTTCCCTCCTTCCCTCCTTCCTTCCCTCCTTCCCTCCTTCCCTCCTTCCTTCCTTCCCTCTTTCCCTCCTTCCTTCCCTCTTTCCCTCCTTCCCTCCTTCCTTCCCTTCCTCCTTCCTTCCTTCCTTACCTCCCTCCCTCCTTCATTCCTTCCTTCATATTGAGGATCAAACCCAGTGCCTCACACATGCTAAGCGAGCACTCTACCACTGAGTTACAACCCCAGTCCCTCTATTGATTGTCTTCTTTGCTGTGTAGAAGCTATGTAATTTGATGCAGTTCCATTTACCTGTTTTTGCTTTCTGTTGCCAGTGCTTTTGTGATCATATTCAAGAAATCATTGCCAAAACCAGTGTCAAAAATGTTTTTGTTGTTGTTGTTGTTTTGTTTTAAATCTTCTAGTAGTTTTGCAGTTCTAAGTTTTTAAGTCTTTAACCTATTTTAAGTTGACTTTGGTATTTGGAATGAGCTAAGGTTTCAGTTTCATTTTTCTGCATATGGATATCTAATTTTCCCACCACTACTTATTGAAGGCACTGTCTTTTCCTCTGTGTTCTTGGTACCTTTGTTGAAGATTAGTTGATTTTATAAGAGTATGGATTTATTTCTGAGATTTCTCTTGTGTTCCATTGGTTTGTGTATCTGTTTTTCCACCAGTACCATGTTACTTCGTAATTTATTTTAAAAAACAGCCATTGTAATGTTCACAGCTATGTTCTTTTAGCTCAAGATTGCCTTGGTTACTATTGATTATTATTGCCTTGGTTATTTGGGTGGTCTTTGTGGTTTCATACAAATTTTAGTATTGATTTTTCTTTTTCTGTGAAAAACGTTATTGGAATTTTGATACAGATTGTATTGAATATTTAGATTGCTTTAGATAGTSTTGACATTTTAACATCTTTCTCAAATTCATGAATCTGGGATGTTTTCATTTATATATATATGTTCAATTTCTTTC